GCAACAACGAATCCTTCGCAATAGAGATATACTCCTAACACAGGTGACAACGTAGGCAAATGCATAGGGGCCAACAACAGCTGCATTGACAACAAAGATGGGTACACAATTGGTGGCAGGCAACTGTTGTAGAGGCGACGGGCGTGTGACGTGTGTTCTTTCAACACATTCGTGTTGCATTTATCTTTTGACCGCACTGAAATTTGTGCGCAACAGCAATCTTTCATCGCCGCTGATGCATTCGTCATAGCTGCCACTGATGTGTTGTTGACAAGAGGTGGTCAAAAGAGTACGTTCACAGGTGAAGAACGTCATTATTAATCATTCTGTAAAGTTTGGATTGCGTCGTGAAACAGCAAGAGCCACACTTAATAATGGTTGGTCTAATTCGAGGTAAAGGATTGGCACAAGTGCCTATGTTGTCGACATAACAGTTTCAAAGGCCTAGACTTGTTTTGTCGGAGAAATATTAGTTTGTTATCCGTGAAATATCCGACAAAGCATTAGAATAACATACCAAGAGCTAAATTGATTTGAAAGATATTTTACTTAAAAAGCATTAAATAAAAACCGAGAGGCATCCGCTGGGTCACCGAGGCCACATCCTTTCATAAACGTGTAAATACAAGGTCTCACACTCTTCGAAAACCAAGTGCATCAAAACACTGGCTTAAAACATGTTCTGTGTTAGTGATTTACTTAACCTCCCCCGACAGCATAAACTGTTATTTTTAGGTTGCCGTATGTTTTGTTTTTGTTTTCGTTTTAAGGTATTCAATTTTACTTTTCGCCTTTTAGTACAACACGAGTTTGCACTCGCAAATAAACTACAAACCGGAACACATATGCACAAATGCACATAAATATTTATAAAATGTAAAAGATATTTAAGTGCATCCGCCCGCACCCAGCAGCAGTGAGGCCGCAAATGACTTGCTAGTGTACAGCAAGTGCAGCAAAGAATTACTGAACAATCAACTGCAACAACAACGATGAGCATAGTTTAGTTTGCCATAACTGGCGCCACCATTTAGTTTTTAAACAAAAATATGTTATTTTTCCGCATAAAAAACACACACAAAAGAAACAAGCACAAATACAAATTGCTCAAAAACTTGAACAAATTTTAAAATCTTGGCAGCACAATTTCATTACTTATTGATGTCGATTTTCTTACTTGTAAATTTTACAAATATCGCAATTACGGTTCTCAACACCACTCAGTTGAATTGAAGTTGAAGCAATTCAACTTCAGACCAAAAAAACTTTTTCATGGCAATACGAACTTCAACTATTTGCAGTTTCATTGGTGTTGCCAACCTAAAAAATTAAGATTTGGCAGATAATTAACAGCTGAAAATTTTTAAACGAAATCAAAACAATTAAATTCAATTATTGCTCACGAAAAGGTAAACAACTGTTAAAATGGACATTAGTTTATATTTATATTACGATGACAAAAATGCTGGAGCGAAAACTGATGAGTATTCGTTACTCAAATCCATTGAAATTTCCTAATACCATATAAGCCAAATTTTTATTGACAATTAAATAGCTTTTAAATAATGTTTGTTGTAGACTCATTAATTATTTTCGAATAAATGAGAACTCATTTTGTTTTTTTTACTAAATCAGATGAAGGTACATTACCACAAACTATCCGTTTCTTTGCTGCTGGTAGTAATCAAGAATGCGTTTTAAATGATTTTAACCTTGGACTGAAGCAACGTAGGATTTCTAAAATCGTTACAAAGGCTGATTTTAAATGTTATCAACACCATATTTGTGTGCAGTGGATAAAACACAAATGATTGAAAAGGTGCAAAATGTTACGAAAATTCAATTTGCCTTAAAAATTATATTCCTAGGAGTAAAAGATTGTTATCCACAAATTATAGCTCGCTTTATCCAGTTTCGAAATTTTACTACACGAGCTCAACAAATTTTTCACTTTTCAATTCATTTGTACTAAATAACTGATTGAAGTAATTTACAATTACAAATAAAATAGGTTTTTTACCATTTTCCATTTTCTGTCCATATTTTTCTCAAATAAACGCAATAATGTTTAACTACAACTACTTGGTTGCAGTTGAAATTTTGTGATTATCTAGTTAACCTCACTGGCATAGAGTTGAAAACCGTAATATCACAAAAAAGTTGAAGATTGTCAACAATTAAACCGAATTTTTTATTGACGGGTTGAGTTGATATCGATAATAACAAATTTCAAAACTTCAACTAAAATGCAGTTGGCTTGAAAAGCGTAATAGTGGCCAAACTAGTGGGTGTAACCACATTTTTGCATGATTTTCGTAAATACTTATATTTCTATGTCTTGCCATCATTAACGGCATCTTTTATTAACTAAAAACTCTATTTTACCAGATTTTTTTAAAATGAAATTCATATACCAGCCAAAATTCATAGACAAATAGCTACATATGAGGGCGAGTTGGTAAAAATATCTTTCCATGCATTAGCTCATATAAAAATAATTTCACATGAAATTATCAATTCAACGTCAATGACATGTGAAATTCTAGGGATCTGTGATTTCACTTCTTATTTTAGCCGAGCAAGCATCAGCCGGTTCTATGGTGTAATGGTTAGCACTCTGGACTTTGAATCCAGCGATCCGAGTTCAAATCTCGGTAGAACCTATTTTATGTTTAAAGATATCTTTTTTTTTAAAACGAAATTCGTAAGAGATTTTTTCCGAGTTATATACGTAGATACACACAAAGCTATGTATTTATAATAAATTACAGTTGGCGGAAAATTAAAAGAATTTTGAGTAATACAAGCTCTAGATTTTCCAAAGAAGATAGATAAAAAAACAAGCAAGGAAGGGCTAAGTTCGGATGTAACCGAACATTTTATACTCTCGCAAAGTCAAATAGTATACTCGTTTGAGATTTCTTTGTGGATTGACTGATATTTTCGGTAGAAGGCCAACTATAGGCACTGGGGTCTACATATTTAGTACTTAGGGGCTTGAACAGTTTTAGTTCGATTAAGACAATTTTTGGTCACAAGGTGGCATACATTAAACGTATTATTCACGCAAAGTTTTACCCCGATATAGTCATTGTTGCTTGATTTGCATAGTGGAAAGTGAAAGAATCAGATGGAATTGAAAATGGTGTTATATGGGAAATAGGCGTGGTTGTAGTCCGATTTAGCCCATTTTCGCAATATATCTTAGAAATATGAAAATAACGTTATGCACCGAATTTGGTTGAAATCAGTTAAGCAGATCCCAAGATATGGGTTTTCACCTAAAAGTGGGCTGTGCCACGCCCACTGTCTAATTTTGAACGCGGTTCCTATAAAGTCATCTCATACCATCCGAGAGATAAAATGTAATGTATCTGGCGTGTTTAGTGCTTGATTTATTGCGCTTTTAGTAGTTTTTAACAGTACCGTTATATGGGGAGTGGGCGGAGTTGCCACCCGATTTCTCCCATTTTCACACTGTAGGTAGAGGTTCTAAAAACATTTGCTTCCAGTGAATTTTGTTAATATTGCATTAGCGGTTTAGGAGATATGCTCATAAACCTATTAGGGGCGGGACCACACCCACTTTAAAAAAAAATTTTAACTGCAGATGCCCCTCTCTATTGTGATTGTGTATACCAAATAAGAGTCTTGTATCTTGTTGTGGAGCTTAGAATGGCAATTTATTTGTTTTTGAATAATAGCGTTTTGTGGGCGTGGCAGTGGTCCGATTACGCCCATCTGCAATACCAACCGTCTCACGGTATCAAGAAACATGTCGACCAAGTTTCATAAATTTTCATATCTAAATTTTTACTCAAGTTAGAGCTTGCACGGACGGACGGACAGACAGTCACCCGGATTTCAACTTGTCTCTTCATCCTGATCATTTATATAGTCATAACCCTATATCTAACTCAATTAGTTTTAGGTGATACAAACAACCGTTAGGTGAACAAAACTATTATACTCTGTAGCAACAGGTTGCGAGAGTATAATTATAAATGTAAATGCTATATTTGACGAAAAAAACGCTAAAGGTCTTACAATTCAATATGTCTACTATATTAATGTATTTATCATTTTAACCGAGCCCTTATCCACATTTGGAGTATGTGAATAATTTTTTTTACCGATTTCGAATGATTAACGTTAATCGAAACTGGTCGTGCGTGATGACGGCGTGCAGCTATCACGGCGGGCGGAAAAAAATATTATCGACGTTAAGTCCATCAATTATGTTCGTAAATACCACTGGTATGTGCGAAGTCAAGTTTTTAATAATCTTATTTGGGATTAACTGAAGCAATATGTTTTCGCATTTCATTACAATTACATTGTTTGCCACTTAGATTTCAGTACTCAACTTATCATCCGTTAATACACGACTATACAAATAAGAGCAGACTTACATATATATATATGTATGTACATAATGTTGCCAGAAACATTTGTATTAAATTGTTGCCAATTTGTTCAAGTCATAAATATAGTCTTTCTCCCGTAATTGTCTCTTTGACAGCTTTTCATGTTACGCTGTCGTTGGTAAACGTCGTCACCGTCATTCATTCAATAAACTTGCGCTGTGAGTGTGTCTAATGTGGCAAATATGTCAAAAGCTATACAATATGGATGACACAAGAAAACGCAGCATAAAATGATAAGCGTAGAGCAAAATAGAGGGCGACAAAAGATCAGAGTCATGTTGTGTCAGGTAGGGAATAAAAATGTAATTTTCAATCAATTGTGGAATGTTGTTTAAACGCACATAAATCGTTTGTCATCAACAAGAAAAAATAGCAAATAAAAATCATATGAGACAAGACAAAAAATGGTTCACGAAGGAATGCTTATATGCAAAATTACGTGGCACGAAATTTATATTAAAAGCCAACAGTGCGAAAAGTTTGCGCGGGGCACCTAAGTACATATGTATGTGTATTAATATTGGTGTTGTCTGTACCAGTCCTTCGCAAGTTCAAATATGAAACTTCACTTACCTGTGAAGGCACGTGTGAAATTGGGTTCTTATTTGGTATCTTCAATTTAAATGTCATGTCACAGTGCTTTCAATTACTTTCTTACGAGAATAGATGTTATTCCTAGAAATAAAAATTATGAATTTTAAATTATAGGCATTGACAGAAAGAAATAAATACTCAAAAATTACATAGATCTATTGTTAAATTAAGAATAAAATAGCAATCGAATTTTTTTACAATTAAAAATTTCAAGGCACATACTGGCGTGAAATTTAACACAAATCGATTTTTTTCCATTTTCGATATGTTGTAACTTTAAAAATAACATACTGATACATTGAACACATTTTGAAACGAAATCTCAAATAGTTTTTGAGTTACAGCCCTTCAAAATGTATTCGCTCATTCAAACCTGCCACTGCTTTTTTCGGAGACAAATGATCCGATCACTATCAAATTTTATCTGCATGTTCTGTATATATGTATTTTTCCATACTATCATTTTTTGATCAGATCAAAAATCGAGTTTTGGCAGGACAAAAACAACCAAAATTTTGGAAAAAATTCAACTGTTTTTTCAAAACGTCGCCATTTTGTCAATTCTTGAGTTTTTCCAACGTAGTTTCTAGTAGGGAAATTTTTTACCCTGAATAGGGTATATTACCAGGCCACGTAGTTTGTAACACCCAGAAAGAAACGCCGCAGGCCCTATAAAATATATATATAAATAATTAGCAAGACCAGCTGAGTCCATTAAGCCATGTGTGTCCATATATCTGTATATACGCCAAATAGTCTCTCACTTTTTGAGATATCGATCTGAAAATTTCCACATGTCCTTTTCTCCCCAAGAAGCAGTTCATTTGTCGGAACCACTTTTATAGCATATAGCTTCCATACGAATATAGCTTGTATCGAAAACTTTTTCATTTAACGAGATATCCTCACGAAGTTCGGCACAGATTATTGTCCCAGACGACGGTGAATTTTCCAAATAAATTGTTCATATCGGACAACTATAGCATATAACTTGCCATACAAACAGAACGATAAAAATAATGCGCTTGTATGATATATTTTGAATTTGTGAAGGGTATGATAGATTCGGTGCAACCGAAGTTATCGTTTTTTTTTCAGGTTTAATCCACGAAACAGGTCAGAATCACTGCAGCAGTGGAGAACAGCATGACAGCCAGATTTGCTCATAAAATGAGAAGCGCTAAGCATTAAATTTTTGCTTTATGGTAAATAATTCCTCCTTCATTGCCATATCTTTGCTTACGGAACGTTAGTCCGTAAGTAAGTGTTAAACACAAATGACGATAATATAATCAGGTTGCCCAACAAACTAATTTCACTTCACTTCATGTAATCACGAAAACGAATTCTCAAACTCAGAGGAAACAGCTGCAGAATTATGTCTACTTTGTGCGGTTTTCGCCTGGACTCAAATATTCCATTCACACCGCTAAGAAGCCTGTGAAGCCTTGATAAAAAAAAACATAAAAAAAGCGAAATCTATTTATAAGTTATAAAAAATAAATAAATAGAATTTGTGCAATGTAAATTTCACTCGAAACGTGCCGCAGTTAAAGCCGAAGCACACCCATGTACAACGAGATAAAACGAAGCGAGGCTAGTTGGACAGCAGCTGGTGGAACGCAGGAGAAGCTTTGCGAACGACGCGCAAAAAGAAATGCAATTTAGTATTTATTATTAAGCAGCTTCTTTTCTTGTCGCTGCACTCCCTCGCATTTTTTCTCTACGTCATTTCTTTATTTCATCCTTTTTTGTTTGTACGCTATTTGTTGGCTGGTTAATGTTGCCATTGCAACTGTGTTGCATTTCGTGCGGCAAACGCAAGCGCCACTGCAAGGCAAACGAGGCCGGAAATTGTGCAAAGCAAATGTAATTCAATTTTTATACGTGCCGCAATGAATGCCATGCCAAATAAGGTGAAGAGTATGCATATAAACATAAATTTGCGGCGTAGTAAAAGGAAGTTGGCGGAAGATGAGTAAAAATTTAGCAAAAAATTGTACAAGCAAAAATAAAAATCCGGAAGACTTGCAAGGGTAATACAAATAAATTAAATTCATAAAGGCAAGTGCTTTGAATGCAATTAACTCTTCTAGAGATTCGCGAATGCGAAACTGGCCTTATCAGGTTGAAAATATATATACTTAGCTTAAGCATAACAAATTCAATTTTGACAGAAGTCTTGTTAGTTTATGTCAGTAACCACTACTTTTACGTGACGTTTCGCTCAATTTCAATCCTCAGGAAAGTATTTATATAGAGATGGAATAATTAGAAGAAGCAAAACAAATCCAACTGAAACTAAAACTAAAGTAATACTTAGATGAACCAGGAGTACTAAACCAGACTACAAACTAATAAGATAAATACCAAATGTGAGTCTAAAAATTTGAAAGAAAAGTGAAAATAGTTCCAGAAAGGATGAATTCAATTTACACTAACCAAATATTTATAATATTCAGCATATATTTTTCTCAGTTCATCCATTTGTATGTATATCGCATCCTGTTGGAAACACGCCCAACGAAGTACTTACGACTGGCAATTGTGGCTCACTTCGAGTGGCATTTGTAGTCAGCAACGAGTTAACGCACGAGCACACACACTCCCATATATCCACGCTTCTTCTATTACCTACATACACACCCACTTGTACACAAAAGACAAAGGCAGACACATGAATACAAAAGCACGCAGCAGAATAAGTGTGGAGTGAGAACAAAAAGCATTAAAAATAAACAAAACAAACTTCAGAAAAACAGGAAAACATGTAAATTACCCAGCCACAAAGACAGGATATTGTGAAAATGAAAGAATGCGCGGGACGTGGCTGCAACAGCGTCAAGATAAGCGGAATGTGAATAGGAAGCGGGTTAACGAAAATAAGATAAGAGGCTGGGTAAGTTTGCGGTTCATACTGCATTGGAGTAACACAGCGCCAAATGTACGTAGCGGCGAAAGGCAATGCAATTGTGTGCGTTCCGACGGTCGATTGTATTCATAGGCATTTAATATGTAATATGCGGTATTTTAGCGTGCGTTTTTATGCACTGTTATTTTCTGGCACAACGAGAGGATTTCGGATTTTGTTGTCCTGCACTTTTGCTGCATAGCTAGTTTTGAAAGCCATATTTTCAATTCTTTAGCAGTTTTCTAAACTTATACATACAATATTTAGCCTCCACTTTGAAATGATGTAGGATTTGGCTAATTTCTTCACTCATTTATACTCCTCTACTTTCTTCTTTTCTTTGGGTCTCAACATGCTTTTTGTTTGTCAAAATCTACGAAAACTCATTTACACTTTATTGTTCGCAAAGTAGCTGCCTTCGCCTTCGCTTTCGCCATCGCCATCGTTTGCAGTGGCTCATGGCACGTGATCAGTTGAAAATGATATTTGCATACTGATTGGTTTCGCGGCAACATTGAATTGCATACCAAGACTATATAGGTTCATATACATACAATACATACCTATATCTGGATGTTTGGCAAATTTATATTGCTTCTTTATTTATAGGAAGCAATTGTATTAATGACGAAAGAAAATGCATATTTTCTGTAATTACTTTGAAAAATAAGTGAGAGTGTAGGAGAATTAATACATACGTTTGCTTAAGATAATAAAACAAGGTAAATTTTTTCAGTGCGTTTTCATTATAAAGCTGATAGGCCTCCCTTGCAGTACGCGTATGCCATATTCCCAGTAAACACAGTTACGTTTACACACTCGCCAAATGTCCAAATGAGAATTTGTTTGAAATTAATGAAACCAGTGCTTGCTTAACACCAATGCAGCGGACCAGTGCAACTGAGCGTATGAGTGACATGCTTTCTCATACACCCGTTTCCGTGTGCGAGCCGCACTGCTATTCTACTTCCACACAATCTTGGTTTTTCTAATTACAAAAACTGCAATTCTTAATTAAAAATATGTTCAGTCGCTACTTGTATACGTTAACGCGCTGGAACATTTTTTTAATTTGAAAGTTGCCACTATACATTATAAAGTAACACGGACGTTTCACACACTCCCTTTTTAATTCTCCATTATATGTGTTTGTGGCAATAAAATAGGTTATGTGTCATCGAGGGAGTTAATATGGGGAGAAAGTGCACGTACGCCGCAGTGATGTCTGCAAACAAACATACTTGCGTGAATTGTGAGTATTAACACAAAACTCATTCATAAAGAAAAGAATTGCGTCCTGAAAAGACGCACGCGTTTTTCATCATTTGTACCTAATTAAAAGGGAATTCACCGAGTTTCTTTTCTAACTGCATCTTTCCATATATATTTAATTAATAGGTATTACACAGAAAGTAAAAAAAAACTATAAGGAAAATAGGTTAGTTGCTACAAAATACTCACTCTATCTCAACAAAACTCGCTGAGTCGTTGCAGTCCCTCAACTCCTAATGGCAGTAAGGATAAGAAAGTAGATCTACATATGAATTAGTTCGATCGTAGGCATATGCCAGTGACATGTCTGACAAGCTACCCACACCAAACTTAGTTTATCAGGATATTAAATAATTTAAGTATTAAGTAAAAAAAATTAAGTATCCACGTAATTAAAGCACTGTTTTTAACTTCATCTTATTAGCTTGAAAAGTTAGTCATATAAGTCGTTACCTTTTCTTTATGCAATATAACGATTTTTGGTATGTAACGGCCACTATGAGAGAATATCAAAGAAACCAACCGAAAATTTCCTCCAAATCGATTTTGGACTACACACATATACATATATCATAATGTTATAAGGTTTATATATTTGATATCGTCCTTACCTACCCCGAAACTCTCATATGACAAAAATACTAACTATTGTTGTTAACTTTAAACTAGCAACAGTGGGTGGAGGTAAGGTATTTTCAGATGCAGACCTTGTGTTACAGCGTGAAAAAAGCCATTTTTGTAAATTAAAAAATTTACTACTATATCCATTGTTTTCAGGCGCATATATGTATACACATATTTTTAGAATACACCGTAACATTTTTGAAGAAATTAAATATTTTTCAGGTTACACGCGATCTCCAAAGGCGCAAAAAAAATCTTCTTTACTGCAGTGATT